CCCCCTCCTTCCATCCACGTGAGTGAGGGTAGTGTGTAGGACATGAGAGATGCCGTCCGCAGTGGATCTGTTGGTGCGGTAGGCGAACTGCAGTGGGTCGATGTAGTTAGGGATGGAAGAACAGATGAAGTTCTTAACAAGTCTCTCGAACACCTTTATGACAAGGGGTGTTAAGGCCACAGGGCGATAGTCATTGAGGCTTGAGGGCTTGTTACTCTTTGGAATCGGGACGACTGTGGATTTCTTAAAACACGCCGGGGAAGTTAGGAATTTCTGCATGTAATTACATCTGCTTGGTGGAATTGGATTTCATTGGCCCCTTGCAACATCCACTTCCCCTTTAATGACCATACAGTAGGGTGGCCTCACATCTCTAAATGGTGACCTGCTGGAAATGGAATTTTCTAACCCAAATTAAATTTAGGTGGTCTGCTTTGACGTGCTTGACGTTCCTGTACCTGACCACTCTTTGGCACTGGGGCGGGCAGTCTGATCCATGGAGGACCAGTGTGGGTGCAGGTTTTTGGATGACCTCTCAATCAGCCAATAACAGTGGGTCCCCAGGACTGGAGATCAGAACCACAAAGTGGACTTAAAGGTTTGCGGGGGAACTTTTTTTTTAGGGTGACATGGTGACTAAGTAGATAGTACTGTCACCTCACATCTGCGGCGCTAAGGGCTTGAATCAGGCCCCCGCTCTGTGAGTGTGGTGTTTGCATAATTCGCATGGGTTTACTCTGGGTGCTCTGCTTTCTTCCTGCAGTCCAAAAATTATGCAGTTAAGCAAACTGGCATGTGTGTGTATGCTTGCTATTAGACTGGTATCCATTGTGCCCTGCACTTGATAATCAGCTATGGAAGATGGATGGATGTACCCAGTTCCAGTATAGTGCATTTGGCTGGGAACCTGCCAAATTTAAGCAGTCAAGCGGTTATTTATAATATTTGATATTTTGAATATTGGCACAGCTGCAGCCCCAAGATCAGCCCCTGTGTGAAATGAAGAAACAAGACTAAATAAAGAATGTGACACATGAAATGTATTTAAGGGACGGATCTGCAAAAATGCATGTATAAATATTCCTAATTTCCATATATATAAAGTGCCTTTGAGATGCTCCCAGATCCTTTCTATGGAGTTCCATTTCGTGGTAAATTTTTTATTTTTTTTCTAAATCCAAAAAGTTTTTAAGGGTAAGACCAGGTTTTGCTGTCATTTACTATTACATCAGGGAAAATGTAGCTAAGAAAATGCTGTAAAATGTGCTTTAGTATTCAGACCCATGCATGCTCTGTTTGGTCGAACCAGCTTTAGGAGAAGTTTCCCCCTTCCAGGAGAATCATAAGCTGATCTATAAGTCACTTTGGAAAGAAGTATTTGCCAAATAAATGATTGTAATGTAATGCAAATGTAATTTGTCACGTTGGCTTGGTGCAGATTTTGCCCATTCTCCTTGGCGCGTGTTCTCAAGGTTGTTAAATGACCATTAGTGTGCGTAATTAAATGTGTGTGTGTGTGGACTGGTGTCCTATCCTCCATCTCAGTTCCTGTGTTTCTGTGCTCTAGTGGTGACCCTGATTGGTCACTTATAATGATGAGGGATTTGACAGAAGTTCATGTGAGAAGCCACAGTCGAGGATAAAGATGAGGGTATGAGAGGGAGTATAGGAGTGAAACATCAGGTAGAAAGTAGCTGTGCACAGAACACAACAAGGTCATAATAAACAAGGCCCTTTCAGGCATGGAGCAAAACACCTGCCTACATCTGCTCTTGACTTCAAAGAAATTACTTCTTGCTTCCTGTCTCAAACCTAAAAAATCCATTACAAAGACTTTGACTGAAACAAAAGTGCAGGACTCTGACAATCAAGGTATTGGTTACAGCATCCAAGGCTGTACTGTTAAAGTTTAACACGTGCTTCTGGGCCTGACTTTGAAATGCAGGAAATATGACTCCCCCCCCCCCCACACACACACACACAAGGCAGGTGAAACATTGTGGGATGAAATATCAGCCATTAGAGTCAAGGTTCTATATGTAGGACTGTGTGCCAGGGGGGGTTGATTGACAAAACTTTGCTTGCACAAACAGGGGCTAGTGTGATGGCACTGTTAGCACTATCTATCTGCACACTGATGTTGGGGGAGGGGGGGTGCACTTTGTGCTTATTTATTTAGGATAATGGTACTTTATTGATCTCCGTGGTGAAATTGTCTTTTTGACTATCCCATCTTGCTCTCACACATGTTCTGCAGGTCAGAGCAAGCTTGAGGTCACAGTGCAGGGTCAGTCAGTGTTCAGTGGCCCTGGAGTCGGGGGTTAAAGGGCCTTGTTCAAGGGCCCAACAATAGCATCAATCTACTGGTTCTGGGATTTGAACCAGCTACCTTCTGAGCGTGGGCACAGAGTCCTAACCTGCCTAGCCACACATTATCCTTATTGTCACTGTTACTTATGAGGTTTCCCTGGACTGGCACTTTAATGCTCTTGGACGTCACCATTGGTCAGCACTCATTAATAACTGGCTTGGGAGGTCTGGCCAGAGAGTGTGAAACGTCCGGCAAGCTAAACCATTGACGTTACAAAGCTTCTCAACAGCCCCGTCCACTTGAATAAGCATCTTCAACTCCACAGCCCCTTTAAGGATGGAGTGCCAGGGGTGGGAGAAGCCTTCAGGCGAGAAATTGTATTCAGCGGGTAGCAGTTTAATAACAGGGAGGCTGTTCTCTTTTCTGGCATGTTTTCCCAGTAATGACCAGTGTGCTTTTGGGTAAACAATGGTGTTGAGAGTGTTATTGTAACACTGCAAGTGCGACGCTATTTTTAAAAACAAATACATTTCATGCTTAGTTGAACAAATATTTACACAAGACAAGTATGTGGATGAGTAAACATTTTTTACAGCTTTTTGGTCTTGTGCGCCTCAGGCTGCCAAAATTGGTAGCTTGTCAAATGATAGAACCTGAGCGAGCAATCATTACTGTGTGAGAGTTGATACATTGATTCCCTGGAGGGGGGGCTTACTATGTGTCTTGTGGCTACATTTCCCTCCCCGTCCTTCTTTACTAAGCGAAACCAAGGAAGATGGAATACATCGATCAGTAGTGTCCTCTGTTGGACGCCTCATTTTTTAACGTGTCACTGGTGATGTGAGGGTAAATCCAGGTCAGATTATCTTGAGGGAAGGGATGGAGGGAGATATGTGCACCTCATGTTAGGTTTGTCCCAGCCCCCCCCCCCAAGCTTTCACCGGCTGCCCCCTCCCTCTGGCCTCCCTTAGCATGCATTCCCCCGATCACACAAGCGACTCCACACACCAGCGTTTCTAATCCTTCTCCAGCAGCCGGACCATGCCGTCCCGCACCTTTGAACAAACATGGGAGGCTTACGTCTCCATTAGCGTTTATCCCTAATCTTTAACATCCTCAACCTGATAATTGCTTCTTTAGCTCCCTTGGCTGCTAATCACATACAAAGTAAACTGAAGTAGATCTACTTAAAAGAAGGAGGCAGTGCGGGCAGGAACTCCAGTGCAGGCAGGAACTGCAGTGCAGGCTTCAGAACTGTCACAGTAATCCTGGGATTGCTCTTCAAATTCCTCCACCCTGTATATCCAGCTCCAACCCCATTCCAGCTCTCCTGCTCCCTCTCTGTTCACTCCACGCCTTAAGCTTGCTGCCTGCAGTCTTTTCAGGGAATGGAGAGCATTGTTTCTGCCTATTATGTAGCCGGTCGGTGGATAAACCGGAGGCTTGGGTCTCCTGTAGCTGCTAATCCCTCACCTCAAAGACTTCACAGAGAAATTCAGGTTATCCTAGCACTTGTGTGGAAAATCATACACACGAGGTTCTGGGGTCTTGGCTGACAGTTGTAATTCCTCAGTCACATGAAAATTCCTCTCACATGAAAATGTGAGCTCCCCATTTTTTTGTTTTAATCAACAAAGACGCTTCTGTCTCCAAAGCTGATAGAGGCACAGCTGTTCATTGTCTTTTAGGCTTAATCTTGGAATCATTCTGCTTGGAAACATGTATGAAACCTTTACATTTCTTTTTATACAGCAGATGCTTTTGTCCAGAGATGTACAAGTGGGGCAAATGGCACATTACAAACATACATGTTGTCGGGAAGTCGACTAAGCATAAATGTGGCTACGCTAACTTCCGAAGAATGAAAGGTAATTAGGGTTGCCAACTTTGCTCAGCTAGCTGGAGTAGCATTTTCAATTTGAAACAAGTCTGCCCACACATGCACATGCATTTAGATTTATGTAACAGTTTTATTACCTTGTAAATAGTCTGTATAGGGTTTGCAAACTGCCCCAACGCTTTTGATGTAGCTAATTTTAGGTTTATAATGGAATAATATAGAGTTGCCGTAATATTTCTTGCGTGAGCGTGAGAGTATGAAAACACGAGTGTCACGCCACATGCGTGAGAGTTGGCAACCCTGGGTAATGCATCCATAGTGTGTGATTCTGAGCTTGTGTTTGGTTTCAAATGGACTGGTATCCAGGGTGTACCCAGGCCTTGTGCCCCAAGCTACCTGTGATAGGCTGTCCACAAAGATATGTGTGAAGAAATACAGAATTACAAATGAACAACAAATCTAATCCATGTTTTCTTGTCAGTCTATCCCAGCATTTCACAACAACAGACAAATAAATTAATAATAAAAAATAAAAACAATTAAAAACACTCATGTTTGTTAATAACAATAACAAATATTAATAAAATCGAGGAATCAGATGTTAAGGTGAAGCTCTTTTGTGCCATGAATAGATATTATTTATTAATGAAGCCAACAGACGTAATTAACATTTAAAAAACACGGATATCTATTGCAAACAAAATATACGAGAAATGCGAGAAATATTGCAATTGTGTAGAAACAAGACCACATCAAGTTATAACGGTAATTACCCGATGACATTTTATCAAAATATTAAGTGACGGGTGATATACGATACTTTTGTTTCGTGCACTGCACTCTGGGATACTGACAGGCTGGCGCGTTGCATTTTGGGATAGCTTAGCCAAAGATGGCGACGTCTTTAGGATCCAATACGTACAACCGGCAAAACTGGGAAGATGCGGTACGTTTGAAAAACCCAATACAAATTTCTTTTCACTTGTTCATTACACGGTTACACGTGTTTAAGTATTGCGATCCTATTAAATGAGTCTATTTGCCAATTTACAGTCTAGAAGTTGAATTCTGGCCCTGCTTTTGCTACAGAGTTTGCCGGCCCGCTAACCTAGTCCAATGATGTTTAGTCAGAGATGGAGGAAAGAGCATGTGTATTTCTATGTGCATTTGTTGGATCTTTTAGCTGATTTTGTCTATAAAGTGCTCCATGTGGTCTCGTAATTTTTGATATTTTGCAAATAGCCGATGATGCAGTATCCTTACCATGTCTAAACAGATATTCATATTGGTTTACTTTAGCATGTGCTAAAGGGCTGTCGAGTTTATTTCATGGCTTGTGGCGTCTCTGAGGGGACATAGTTATCATTTCGCACTTTTTTTTAAATCTTTAAGATCTCACAATATGTTGTCTCGGTCCTCATAGAAATGGCATTATAAATAATTAGCAGTGCACTTTACTGTGGGTATGGGGTATAAAGCTGCCCCATTGCAGGCATGCTGACAATTCATGGATAGTGTAAAATCATGGGCAGTGTGGCTTCAGTTTGCAGGACATCGAGTTGTAATCCCTCTAGTGTCCTCGTTTGTTCAAAGGAATTGACTTCCTAATAGTTGTTGGTGTCCTATTTATAAGTAACTGCGAAACAGTTTCATGTTTTTAAAAACAGTAATTCAGATTATGTTGTGGTAGTCCCCGGATTGGTTGTGTTTCTGTAAGAATTATGATTCAACCCAGTTGTAACTTCACATGAATCTCTTGCTAACCGTGGATGTTATTTTTTTCTGGTTAATTCTGTACCCCCACCCCCTTGGGCTATTTGGTGGCACTTGGGCACTGCCTGCTTCAGATGAAGTCTAACAGGCATACTTTTCATACCTTAATTGAGAAATGCATAATCCCACAGTGCTGATTTCTGCAAAAGTTAATAGTAAGTTATCCGCGTGTCCAGACCCATTGTAGTTAACTGGCAAGTGGTGTGATTGTTTCTTTGTGTACTTTTTATGCAGGATTTTCCCATCCTCTGCCAGACTTGTCTGGGGGAAAACCCCTACATCCGTATGGTAAGAAGGCTAGCTAGCAATGGCCACATTAATGTGTGTATGCATGTCTCTTGACCATTGATCACTTATAAAATGATCTCCCTAATTTATCATGTTGTAAATCTCTCCTCAGTCTAGTCTCTCTTCTAACTATGTAAAAAGTCACCTGTCATGCTAATGTGAATGGTGTGTGTGTTTTTCAATCCCTCCCTAGACCAAAGAAAAGTATGGGAAGGAGTGCAAGGTAAGGAGCTGGACCCTGTTTCAGTTATGTTTTTATATGCTGCCAGCTGTTAGTTTGCTGTGTTTTTTTTCCCCTCAGCTGCCGATATAGTGGTACTTTTAGTGAACACATGCAGTTCAGAAGAGCGACAGTTACATGCTTGAGGCGCTGTGTTTTTGTGCCTGGCATGTTGTGTGATCCTGGCTCCGGATGAGGGTCAGTTTGAGTTCCGTTACACGGCAGTTGTGTACCTGAAATGTTGTGGCACGGACCCACCCCCCACAGATCTGTGCACGGCCCTTCACAGTGTTCCGCTGGTGCCCAGGGGTGCGAATGCGCTTCAAGAAGACTGAGGTGTGCCAGACATGCAGCAAGATGAAGAACGTGTGTCAGACGTGCCTACTGGACCTGGAGTACGGTGAGTCTCCACTCAACGGGAGGCCTGGTTTACCATACCAGTGCCTTTCCCAGTCAGCTTATGAAATGCTAATTTATTCCAGGTTGTGTGGTCATATTAATTTTAAGTATTTCTGATTTAGTTCGTTATGCCTTCATTGCATTGTAAATTTCACAAATAAGGTATTTTGTCAATGAATGTATTTTGTCAGGCCTGCCGATCCAGGTGCGCGACACGGGATTGACGGTCAAGGATGACATGCCAAAATCAGATGTGAACAAGGAGTACTACACCCAGAACATGGAGAGAGAGGTAGAGTGTCACTCAATGGGAATGTGCAGGCGCAACATAAAGCCTCAGGGGAGCTGTGTTCCTTGTGGTCATGTAACCTTGTTGGCACATCCCTCATAATGTTAATACTGAGCTTGGGGTGCCCACAGGGCATTTTATTCAGCTGTGGATGTGTCCTACTTTTTCCTGACTCTTTGACCCTCCAAGCCTGTCATTTTGCTGGGGAGAGGGGTCTCTGGCTTGTTCCATAAGTCAACACTGTCTCTGATTTAAGAACTTTTTGCCCTGTCCATATTGATTTAAAATAGAAGACATTTAGTAGGCCTATCTGTGACATCTGTTTTCACTGGACACAAGCATTTACTTGCTAATTCAAAGTCGCTTTGGATTGTATGTTTAGTTGTGGTTTCAGTGAAGTGAAATGGGGCTTGTTGTAGACATTTATTTTGGTGATATCATCTAAAACAGGGTTCCTTTGTCACATGTATGCCTTGTTAAGAACGGGTGAAATGCTGACAGATTTCTTAAGGGGGAGTGTCAGTGAGCCAGCTTTGAAGGGCAAATTATTTTTCCTTTATCCTGTGTAAAGACAAGGTTGTGCTGTCAAACCAGTGCTATGGGCAGAAATATAGATTTGTTTGTTCGTTTTAGCTGTGTTCTTGGCAGTAACCCCTCCCATCACCACCATCAAACGAGTGATGAACAAACACAAACAAAGGTGTGTTCTGTGATTATTAAAAATATGTATTTATGCCACTACACAAAGTAGGGGTGTAAAGACACGTCATAATGAATCTGTGGGGACAAGCTTTCTACGGTGATTCAACTTTGATCAGAATCAGTTACAATTGATTTTGGGGGGCAAAATCCTCCATGCTGCGACAGATGTGCAAAGTAGCATGGCGAGCAGGTGAATTTCCAAAGCATAGGTAGTAGAGTTAGGCTCAGTGTTCATAAAGGAAGCACTACTCGATGATCTTTGGGCTAAACTTGTCGTTTTCTAGTGCAGAGTGCTCACTAATGGCTAACATAATCATTGCGCTACGATGCTTTTGGGAAACACCTCTTTTGTAGTGCAAAAAAAGTCATGTTTGCTAGTTACGGTAGCAATGGTGAAGACTCTGGGGTAACCAGCTGGCTATGTAAAATGTAATGTTAGCCTTAGAGATGTGTGATAGATGGTTTAACAAATCGACGTTGGCTTAAAAATCAAGTTATTGGGTCCAACGTCAGTCCAGTATTGCCGACTTTATTAAAACTTTGTCTGTATTAAAAGTTAGCAGCATCAGTGCTAAAGACACAGCAACTGAAATAATGGAAATGATCGCACTGGATGGTCAGCCATTTTCCGTGGTGGGGAAAAAGCTTGCAAGATTAATAATTCATTATGAAATCTGGCCTGAAGATCGATCTTTCATTTTCCACAGAATAGAGAATGATGTGACGTTATTCCGCCAATCTGTGCCGGCAAGCTGGGGGGGCTTCATTGTCGGCAAATGCCCCCAACCCCCTTTTGACAAAAGTGGCTAAGAGGTTAGCCACACGGGTGCACCGCTAGTTAGCCTTGCTGACATCACTAGGTCTTACTTTGTTTTTTTTTCTCTGTACAGATCAATAATTGCCTTTTGGCAGTTTGCACTGGCTTGTTTTCCCTGTTTAATATAATAAGAACAATAAAAATTCATAGTATGTAATTAAGTTTCCATGGTCATATTTCCGATTTTTTTCCCCCAATGAAGTTAGTTTTGAATTTTAGGTTCTCAGAATAGCCAATTAATCAAATCAAATGGAAATTAAAGGTTTCTTATGCAATAAATCATCCCAATATAATCATAAGCGAATCACCTTGGCAACAGTGATTTACACTCTTAACACAAAGGCTTGTTGCATGTCGGCAGGTGGAGGGTGGGAGTTTATGCAAAAACGAACGGCAGAAATTGACATGCTGTGAACTAAGTAGAAGTGAACGGTGCTGCTCAGTGAAACAAGCTTGTAGCTTGTGAATATTTAGTTTTTATTGAAAGGTGCCCCGCCCTAAAATGAATACAAATGCTGCCTTTATTTGTGAATGTGAAATAGCCAGGCTGTTGACTTGCTAATAGTGTGATACCTCTCAACATTCAAATAATGCCTCATGGCCCAGCTTTTCCACGCTAGCTCATCCAGCCCCTGACCTGTCCAGGCTCCATCTGCCCTTCTGTGGTTATGGCCACTTGTATGTACTGGATGCTTTTGTATTTTTACACTCATCTCATAGTTTTGTAATGTAGCTCTTGCTCTCTCACTAACTTAATGGTCATTCATCGGAAGGTCAGCCTAGCCGCACTTAGGTCTAGTTGGCTTCCTGACAACTTTATTTTGACAGTTTACTATCTCCCTTGCTTGTACGTCACGCTGGCTGCTAAACAGATGCCAATGTAGCAGGGAGCGATACAGCTAAGCTTACCTTAGGATAGCCTGGAAAAACACGCACAAATGAGGCCCATTTGCCGTTGGCAGTGACATGTTAGAAGTGATCGTTGCGAAGAGTCTGTTTTTAGCTGAAAAAAGGAACACCTTTATTAATTTCTGGAAGGTTTTCATTAAGGTAAACATCAATTGGAATGTGTGACATCCCTCCCCCCCCTTGTTTTTCTGCTCACACTGTTATTTGCTTGTACCACTTTTTGTAACCTCTCATTTTGTGTAAACATCCCTCTTGGAGTTACCCTCTGAAGGTCCATTCCCTGGAGATCTATGTGAAACATCTTGTGTTCCTTTTATTCCCAGCCAGAATATTTACAGTCAAGATCTGCGCTCTTGGTGTAAATTGTACAAAACATTTTCCACTAAAATGTGTACATGATGCTGGTAGTTTCTGATCACTGAATGTCACCTCCCCAGCCCCAGATCAAACACATGGCTTGGCGTTTTCCAGGTTGTTTACTGGGAAGCATTTCTACATCCAGGTCAGACTTAATCAGAAACTGGCTGTGTTATTAAATAAAAGCCTGTACTCTTTTTGAGTAAGGAAAAAAAAACTCAATTTAATTTCCCTAAGATTTGGCTGGATTTGTGATTAAAATTTCTCTTCTGTTCTAAGGCCTTTGCTGCTTGGCTCCTTCTTGAAACTTAAAGCAAATTATCTTGCTGACTGTCTCCCTTTTGCCCTTTTGTCCTGATCTGTTTCAAAATGTAATGTGCAGAGCAGAATGAAAGCATTCTAACCCTCTTTCTGCGATTTCTGTGTGAATGCTACTGTCACAGTCACTGAAAGCGATGGTCTGGAATCTCTGCTGATCTGACGTGACCTGTACCCCTGCAGATCCAGACCTCGGATGGGACGAGACCTGTGGGCCAGCTGGGGAAGGTTCCGGGCTCCAGCGACATGCTGCTGAAGCTGGCCCGTACCACGCCATACTACAAGAGGAACCGGCCGCACATCTGCTCCTTCTGGGTGAAGGGCGAGTGCAAGAGGGGCGAGGAGTGTCCTTACAGGTGAGCGCCCCCCCTCTCTCCTAACCTCGTGCCTGCCCCCAGTGGGGGGTGTGGACGAGTGCAATGACTTGCACGGTAAGGCGGTCCCTTCGAGTCTCAAGCCCTTCCAACCCAACCTTGCAGAAACCACATCATTGGAGTTACATCAGTAATATCTGCTTGTAGAATCTGTGGTGATGTGGATATTTTGCAATAAGCATTGTTATATTTATAAAGCAGAACAGATTTGAAAATTTACCCAAAATAAACTATATGTACCAGTAGAGACTGTCAGATAAGTTGGTGTTACTGTGAGTAGTGGCAGCAGACAAAAAGCACTGCGGACAAATCACTTGCTCTTTCTCATTATCTTCTCTGTGGAATCCAAAATATTTCCATACAGTGGAAGACAAATTTCTTTTTGCTCTCTATTCAACCCCTTTCTCATTTTTGTTAAATTTCTCCGAAATGCATCACACTCTGCGTCAAACACAAAGGATGAGAATGATTGATTGTCTCAGAGTGCATGCAGGGTGTAAAGTAGACTCTCTTTATTCAGCCGGTCATTCATTCATTTGAATTAACTAATCTATTTTTTTTGTACATATTCCAAATAATATTAATTAGTAATTATAATCACAAAATTTAACACAATTTATTGATAGCCTGAACCAGGCTTGGGTGGCATTATGGAAATACGGTATACCACGGTATTTTAGGACACCCTAAAAATACTGGAATAGCGTTTTTGAAATTACTGTCAAGATATTGTAGTAGCGATATTGGCGTCGCCCGTCACGCAGGCCTAATCCTGCCTATAGTCTCCCGTCTCTTGAGCCCTGTGCTCCCTAGGATGGGCTTCAGCAACACAGTACTGGATAAGTGACGTAGGAATGTATGCATGTTTTTTCAGGGTTTTGGGCAACACTTTCCAAGCATAGCCCAGTGACCCATGAGATAGTGATGGTGTAGTACTAAACAGAGTGTAGTACTATTTATGTACTCTAGGGGGTGTCATTACACAAGAAATACTTACGTAATGGAAAGTATTTTTTTTCCCCCATAATAAATGTTTACAATGTTTTAAATCAGTACATTTATAAAAGTTTTTTTTGTTACATGTAGTCGTTTTTATGTTACTTTCTCATAACTCGTGTTTCCGTTCGTTTGGAAACCTCCCTGCAGGCATGAGAAACCCACGGACCCAGACGATCCCTTGGCTGACCAGAACATTAAGGACCGTTACTACGGCATCAATGACCCTGTGGCCGACAAGCTGCTTAAACGGGCCTCTGCCATGCCCCGGCTGGACCCGCCCGAAGACAAGACCATCACCACTCTGTATGTGGGTGGACTGGGAGACACAATCACAGAGATGGACCTCAGGTGAACGCCCGTGTCATTCCTAGTGGGACCTGGACCCATGAGCAATAGCAAGAGGCTGCTTTTATTGGATGGCAGAGCGGGTCCAGATAATACCTTTGTTATGAACCCCATATTTGGTTTGGTTTCTTCCATTTCTCAGGAACCACTTCTACCAGTTTGGGGAGATCCGCACCACCACCATAGTCCAGAGGCAGCAGTGCGCCTTCATCCAGTTCGCTACCCGGCAGTCGGCTGAGCTCGCCGCCGAGAAGTCCTTCAACAAGCTCATCATCAACGGCCGAAGGCTCACCGTCAAGTGGGGCAGGTAAGGACAGCGCACGGCTCCCTCTAGTGGTCGACCTGTGGTGATCCTTCAGGTCGGGATTTTGTCCTGTTAACCTCTATTACCCATTCCTGGAGGGGGCGCTCTGAGCTTACCAACCAGAATTTGTCTTTCTGTCTCAGGTCCCAGGCAGCACGCGGGAAGGAGAAGGACAGGGATGAGCTGAGCGAGTCGGGAATGAAACTGGAGCTGGTGCCAGGCCTTCCTGGAGGTGAAGGAGAGATTTCATCCCAGGACTGCATGAGAATCTTCATCTACTTAGTCCAGAGAGCTTGGGGGTGTTTTAAATTGGAGCGATGCATATGATTAGTTAGCACAGATGATTCATACACAGACAGGACCTTAAGTCTGCGGGCAGTAATTCTGGGAAGCTCTGTTTTGTAGAATCAGCTCACTTCTGGGGAGTGTTCCACAAAGCAGGATTTCTTGCTTAGCCAGATAATTTGTTGGGTTTAAGGTAGTCGGGGCTAAATGTAAGTGAACAAAGATGAAGTCGTTCTAGCTCGGACTACCTTAAATTTGAGAAGTTATCTAGCTAAGCAAGAATTCCTGCTTTGTGGAACACCTCCCTGATTTAGTGTCTCATCCTTGGCTTCTTATTCTTGTCTGCAGCTCTGCCCCCACCCCCATCATCAGAAGAAGACACTTCTGCCAACTACTTCAACTTGGGCCCCAGCACGTCCCCCTCCGTCATGAACATGAGCCTACCTCCGCCACCTGGCATCACAAACCCACCGCCTCCAGGTACTCCGGGCTTGCTGTGGTCCTCCAGGCCACTAGAGGGACTCCTAATTAAGTAGCGTAGATGCATTTATTTATTTGTTTTGTTTGTTTCAGGTTTTGGGCCTCCTATGTTTCATTCCATGGGTTCCATGGGTCCTCCTCCACCTCCGCCCATGTCCTTGAGACCTCCTGGTCAGATCCATTACCCTTCCCAAGATCCTCAGCGCATGGGTGCCCACGCCAGCCGTCACGGTGGATCCTAGTTTCACGGCTGCCTTGGGGTCCCACAGCTCTCTAGTCTCTTAAAGTGGGAAATGGCTTTTAAAATGGCTGGTTCCACATTTACTTAATACTTTTCCAATTTTAACTCTAACTGAAGCTAATTCATATGAATTAAAACATTCCCCAGGCTTCAAGTTTTTAAGTTATCAGGAAGTTACTTGAATTGTACTGTTTTGCAGAAACCGTTCACTTTTATTGAACTCACCTGTGTCAGTCTAAATTCTAAGATGGGTTAAATCTTTGTGAGACCCTTGGATCTGTGCAATGTGTAAACTATAGCTGTGTCCCTCTGAAGTTTTTTAAGTCTCCTGGTCTGTGGGGCAGAAGGATGCTGATTTCAGTATTGTGAAAAGCCCGATGAGGATGACCAAACCCATACTGAGTCAACGGGATGCCAGAAGACAAGTACAGCACAATACAGGAATTGTGACTCATGGAGACACACAAGTCTTGTTCCTGACCTTCGATGTGACTCACTTGCCGAGAAATAGGACTTTTACCGAGTGCTGAACATGGAGGCATATTTTCTGGCTTGCTTGTCTTGCTTAAAGCCTATTTGCTGGACCCGTTTGAAGAACCTATTTCATATATTTACTGGTGCAAACTGTATTGTCACTTAGCTCCTGCATTTGTAATTTGATAGTTAGATTTTTGTTTTAAGTCTTAAGTATGTATCTAAGATATGTAAACATTCAACAGTGTTTTCTAAATGTCTTCCTTATACCAGTTGAATTCTGAAGTGGGAGTGGTGGTCAGGGGTGATTCCTCCTTCGACATCTTTCAGGTCCGGAACATACCCCTGTCTGCCAGTCGTCTGTCACATTCTCTTTGACGTATAAAACTTTTTTTAATAAAAAATAGCTGTCATGGTAATTTATTTCTCACAGGTAATTTTTCCATTATTACAGACAAACTCCTTTGGACAATAGATACTGGTGTAGCAAAACATAACCTTTTTTTTGCACCTTCTACAGCATTTTTACAATTTGATTTTGCTTGTTCTTAGTCGTATTAATTTTCTGGAGCAGGATTGTGTTAATATCGTTCATCTATTTACAAAAACATCAACAGCAGCATAAGAAGATTTAGGTATAATTTGACCTGTGCAATAAGTAATCTAGCACTGTTTGTGATAGATTATGTGCTTGTGTATTGATGTTGGTATTCTGGTGAGAAACAGGTGACACTGAAGATCTGGGGGTATTCCATTGTTTTCATTGTGTAAAGGCTTTTTCAGGGGTAGGGTTATGTCTGTATTATTGGGGATGCCTGTCTTGCTGTGAAAGGCATGGATTCCAAAGATGTTCATTTGTGTCCTAAGCAACAGAGATCAGAACTGGTATGTTGTCTAGTTTGAGCCAGGAAGACACAGCTGTTATCTCAGACTCAACCCAAAGGCTGTCTTCGTAGGTCTTTCACGTGGAGCCTTTGTAGAGGTCATTTTTTCAGGTTTTCCCACATGCTGGAACATGGACGGTGTTATTGTTGCATATCGTAAGAACCATTAGGTGATAGTCCGGTCATTCAGTCCCTCATAGTGCAGCTTGGGGTTTTCAGCCTTTCTCTGCTCACAGTTCATTGGACTCTGGAGCGTACAGCTTTCCCCAGCCACGGGGCGCCCGGTTAAAGTTGGGGCGATGGGCCAGGCGGTCCCAGGTCTTGCTGGGTTCTGGTGGGGTTTCCTGGCGCTCAAACACCTGGATCGGTGAGATTACCTTCATCCTCACAGGTCCTCCAAAAGGTACTGGGGCTCTGGGGAATAGGAAGTATCTGGATTGTAGTCATACCGTTTATTATGTACAGTTGCTACAGCTAGTATTATGGATGCTGCTGAGTGCAGTGACCTCATAAATAGTCAAGGGTTTGCTAGTCTGTCACTGTACAGGGTACCAGCGGTCATGGAAAACCTGGAAAAGTTTTGGAATTTCGAAATAATTTTTCCAGGCCCTGAATAAGTTTTGGAATTCTTGGATAGAGGGGAAAAGTTTTGGTAGCTAGCCCTGTTCATTTTTGTTTCCCGGAAATGTACGAGCGGAAATCAATAGTTAATCAATTTTCGTATGGTACTGGAAAAGTTTTGGAAAAGTCATGGTAATCTATTCTGCCAGAATTGGGGGAACCCTGACTGTATTATTAAGGGATTTTGAGGATTAAGCTCACGAGCCTAATGATTCCTACCTGCCCCCTTAGATGTTTCTTAACATTTTACCTCATAGCCAGGAACGACTGCCATGATGAACCTGCATCGAGCATTAAAAAATACGTCCGACTCCCCAAAAGCCACGTAAAGAAGCTATACATTGTTCTTTTGACTCTCAGCAATGTGACGCAATGTTCTCTGCAGTTGGGAAATGCGATCCCTGGTGTGCCCAGTCTGTCCGGGGGTACTGAAAGTTACGCGGTGGCTCAGGGTGTTGTCTTTCCGCTCCATGATTTAAATAGACACTAGATGACTGAAGCCCAAGCAGTTTGCAGCTCAAATCATGATCTGGTTTCCACTTGGACGACGGAATGGAAATATGAACAAGTGCCAAGTTAAGCTCAGAGCCCCTTTTAAGTTGATAAAAAGTAGTTTGTCGTATGTTTCCGACTTCGAACTGTGCACGACTGCCCATTTGCTTATACTTGTAGGTGGTCATTGTCTATGAAGGGACCATTGTTTTGCTCAGTTTTGGAGAAGGGTTGATGAATCTTAAGTTGGGTTTCCTAAACTCACCTGTTGAAGCATCTGTAATTGACTGGCTGGAGATTCTGAGGTGGCTCAGGAATCTGGGTGTTAAGAGTATTGAGGAGTTCCTCATTGTTTCCCAGAGCTTCTCTCCACGGGGAGCAATAGGACTTTGGGATCACTGTCATGTTGAACTTCTCACGAGGGATCTCCTTCAGAGGCCCAGAATAACCTGGGCAGGGGAGCAGAAACAACTACTGGAAAGGGGAACTTGGATAATGCCGCACGTACACCTCCATCCTGCAGCACCCTGGAGTAGCTGGAGGAAGTTAGCCATGGGGCAGGAGCGGAGGTACCTGGGGCCAGAGTGCCGGGGTTCCCTTTCTTGGCTGATGCCTGATTCAGTGCCGACGCCAGGTTGTGCCGCCCCGGCTGGATTATTAGCTCAGTGCGAATGTTCTCTTTCCCTCCAAGGATGCCTTGTGATTCCCGTGTCTGGTTCAGCTCTAGGTGCTGCAACACATGAGGATTTATTCACAGCTTTAAAAGGGAATCCATCCCGTTAGTACATGTTTACAACTCAGCCATCTTCCAACATTCATATATCTCTTTCATAGTGGCACTAATGAGATTATTTAGTCTCCACCATTAAATAGACCAGTGGAGCGGGATTGATTAACCTACAAATCCATCCATCTTCTAACCACTTGCCCTGATCTGAGTTGCAAGGGGAGCCTATCCCAGGTAACAGTAGGCACAAGGCTGGGATACACCCTGGATAACATGCCAGTCCACACACACACACACAATCATATGTTAGCTAAGCTACCTGCGTATCACTGCATGTCATTGGAACATGCCATCTCCACACAAAGAGCACGGGCAGGATACAGACCCTCAGCCCTGGAAGTAACAGTGCTGCCCACTGAGCCATCATGCCAACAAATAAATAATTGATTCATGGTGATTTTAAAATGAATGCGGCTTTTTGCAAGAGTTGACACTCTACCCCTGTAGGATGAATAGGCTATTTTTTCGATGCCAGTTCAGTAATGCAGTTATATCAGCCGTTTCTGTTCTGCTTTGCCTTTCATTATGTTACATTCTTCTGCTTCTGCAACACAGCAGAAAATGTGATGAGGCCTCAAGCTATTATAGCTGAGCCTTCTTGGGCCCCGGTCCCAAACTGCCAAAAGCAAGCTTTTGCAGCGGTTCTCGGTGATGTCGGGAATTGTTCCCAGTAAACAGCCCATAGCTGGTGTCTTACGCTTCCAGAAGCATCTGCTGCATTCTCCAGTGTGAACTTCTCTACTCTTCTCTGCCTCTCCAGAAACATACGTGAACCCCTGTTGGACTGTAGGTTCAGCTCCTCCATCTGTAAGTCTCTCGGTATGCTGATCTTCTTCCCCAAGTCCAAATGTTCTGGGGCAAACACATGCAAAAAGTTACTCCTGACAGATACTGCAAGCTTTGATTGACACACCATTGAGAGTGGTGATAAATTCAAAATGGACCCAGTTTCTTTGTGTTAGAGCCACATTTAGTAGGATTTTGTCTATTACATGTCAAGAAATGCCCTAAAAAAAAATTTCTGAAGTAATTTGTATGGTGCCAATATATTTCTTTAAGCATGACGTCAGCCATTTTGAAATTAACTGTTCTAATCTGGCAGTCTCGGAATAGACTCAAGGATACACTAAGGCTTATGTCTGTTATGGGTACGGTTGTGTAGGTAACAGATTATAAATAGGCTGTTCTCAGGCATGTTTTTGAGGTAGATCTTCTTGGCAACAGTTACTATATTTCTGAGGCCGTGCCAAAAACTGTCAGGAGCTGCCTTGGTGTGTCGATATAAACTGGCCCACGGAGGTCATATTTTGCTGGTGCTCTCCAAACATGTGCTGGAGTCAAAGTAAGAGCTGCGATCATCGGAAAATCGTACGTTGAATGAAAACTCCTGGAATATGCCTGGAATGATCACCCTGCTCAGAGTTTCCTTTCCTGAGCGGGCAGTCATGTTGGAATACAAGATCATTCCAGTCCACAAATATCAAGAAGCTTGTTTTGAAGGCCTCGCAATCTCATTCGTTGATAAATGGCACCATAATATGTTCTTGATCCTAAAAATCTGATTTTCAGGTTTAACTATATTATTAGGACCAATAAGGAAAAACAAGGTTCTTCTTTGTGTTCATTATTATTATTATTTACCTCCCCGAGCTTCCTTTGACAAAATCATGGCCTGTTGCTTCTTCTGCCTGGTCAGGTCACCGTACGGCGTCTGCATCTGCATCTTCTAGTTTCTGGTGGAACATTGTGAGGAAGTAGCATCAACTCACTGACTGCTTCATGCCACATCCAACATTCATAGAGGTCTTTGCTAAATAAAAAATAAAACATTACATTTATGTACTCTGAAAATCTATTCAGCATCTTCTAACCACTGACCCCAGACAGGGCAACAGACCATGAAAGTTCAGTGAAACTGACTGGAGTGATATCAATATATGAAGGTTTGACAGCTGAAATGATACCTGAGAAACCCATGTCAGCACCACAGTTATGTTAATTACAGTATTAAGAAACATTGAAAAACTGAATTACCTATTTCATGCCAAATTGTTTTGTTACATACTTATAGATTTGAATCTGTACCCTTTCAGCTCTACTCTAGTAGCATAAATCTCCGATATGCCATAAGGTAGTGAAATCACGTTCCCCTTTGGCACATAACTCATCAGTCATCACCTAGTGCTAACCTGTGGTGATAGACGACCTGCCCTCTCACTCCCCTCTCTTTAACCTCAATATGCATTGCACAATTATCCATGTCTGACAGATGTCCCTCATCCAAAAAGCAACGAAAGCATTAAAACGAATGAATTTAATGTAAAGCTAACAGAGATGTCAGCTGGCTCAGATCCCATGGCATGATTCCCAGTCCATGAAGCAAACTGAAGAATGACATGCTGGGAATGATGATGAAGACTTAAAAGTCGCCGTTATGGGCCTGACAGCACGTCTTTAATAAAGCAGACAGCAGGAAATATCATGTATCTGATATGGGCCCAATGTTTGTCATTTCCAGGTCACATCAAGGCAGGAGGTGAGTCTACTGAGGAAAGCTAGAAAGCCAAGCGTTGCACAGAGAACAATTCTTACCTGCTGGTAGCTGTAGAAGTACTGGTACCGTTGTCTGCTTCTGGAAGCCCGTGGAGGTTCCTTAAATGGGTCAGTGATGCTTTTGCTTACCACTCAAAGAACGTCCGTCTGTAGGGTAACAACTGAGCTCTGCTCTCTGCGTCTCCTGGCCACTTACATCATGGGTTTATTTTAGTCAGAAGATGGACTGTTTGGCGTCGAGGACGAGAAGGGCTTGGATTCACGCCCTCTGCCTCAGCATCCCAGCTAATAAAAATATGATCCAGGAGGGGTTGCACCCGTGCAACCGTGCGAAGAACAGCTGACACCGTCCAGGCCGTGACACTGGAGCCCCTGTCGCTCCGATTTGAGGGCCACCAGAAATTCCCAGTGCATACATGAGAGCTGACATCACGGACAACACCTGTGCACTTCCCTTCCTGCCCAAATTTGTCGACTGGTCAAGGCAAGTTCAAAAGTCAACACCAGTTAAAGACCAAGGATTCACATTCCTGTTTATGATTATGTTATATTCCACTGCATTTGTCATGACTACTGGATTTGTAAAAAGAGTAATTTCTCTATTTTTCTAGTCAACCTGCATCAGCATCGATGTAACCATTCAGCAAAACGCTGATGTATATTTGAACACATTGCAGCTCCAGACTGAAAAGGAAACCTCTATTCTGCAGTTTAGTTTGGCAAAATGGCTTATTGATTTTCTTCCAAAAAGACTTGGCAAACGTGATGAAATCGCTTTCACGTTCTCACTGAAAAGCACTGTAAGATCTTTACTCTTACTTATCTGGCATAGACAGCACATGTAGTTATTATTCAATAAAAATGCGGTCACAGTAGCATCTGATAAATGAATTGGAAGGAGTTTATGTGTTTTTATATTTGACATAAGCTTCTGTTTTTAAGATACTGAAAGGGCAATAAATTTGAAAAAAAAAACTGTCACCTGAGAAATATTCTTTAATATGCACCACTATCATTGAATCAATGGCACACAGGGTAATGCCAATTGTAAGCTAATTTTAGCTCAACAATGAAAAAGAGAAGAAATGATTATGTCCTGCTGACAGAATGTCATAATCTACCCTGATGAATTTTAAGTCTTTCTCAACCACAGAACATGACTGCTTAGTAACCTCTCTTACCAACAGTCATGACCAACGCTTGAATGTTTATGGCATTCTGGGAATATTGATTATCTGATTAATGAGTCTGACTACTCATTTTGTAAGCATACATTCATGTAGAGTGGTGAGAGCAAACTTAGGGTTTGAACAAAAGGCCAGCTGTTTACCCAGCACCCCAGAACTTTTTTCAGGGGGAGGAATTGAACCAATGACCTTCTGAGCAATGGGATTTGAACCAATGGCCTTCTGAGCAAAGACATAGGTGCCTAACTCACTCAGCCACATACCACCCCTCAGCATGGATAGAACTTCCGAAAATACAACGAACTCATCATTATCCCTCTGTGTGGAGCAATTTGGTAAAAGGCAAAAGATTTATATGAGAATAAGAAAGACCTGAATCATGCGGGCAAATATGCATGGCTCTTCAAATATTGACAATCACTGTGTAATAAACTTCACTGATGTGAAAGAGGTTCACAGGGTCTATGTTTGTGAGACTATATGGGTAAACACGCGTGACTCTTCGAATATTGATTATCATTGGTATGATAAATTTGCAGTTCTCAATGCGTATGATAGTGACCACGTCTGTGTCAGTGTGTTTGTGAGACACTCAGCATCTGACAGGTGTTTCTGAAAGCAGCTCTGGGTCTGTTCGTGTCATGTAGGAGTGGAGGAGGTACAAAGAGCCACCATGTAATGACAGGTGACACCAGGACAATGCTCTGTGACTCTTTAATTAAGGCCAACTACCTATGGCCCTGCCAGAAGGGTCTGTGAGCCCAGAGAAACCAACAGCTCCCCAGAGAAGAAGATAGGAAAGGGTGTTTACTGTGCATGTGTCATTTCTCACAGGTTTTTTTTAAGGCTTTTAATTTGCTAACAATTTCATAATAAAAGTCACCACAGACACCACAACCGAAGGCAGAAGGACATACTATATTCTCCTCTTCTTCCTCTCCTTGCAGTTGCTGGCGTCTTCAGGAAGCAGAAGGTGAGCGTTACGCCCCCCGCTGGTACCACCATGTACGGGCTGCTGTGTGAGAGCCTCCACGACTTCATCAAGGAGTCGTACGGGGACGATGTGTGGAAGCTGGTGCGTGAGCGTGCCGACGTGAGGCTGCACTCCTTCGTCACACACCAGGTGCGGCCGGGGGCGGGGGCGGTATCATGATTACGGGGGGGCAAGTGCAGCTGTCGCATGGGAACTGCGATCTGGCGGGGGTCCGCGGGGTTTGCAGGGTATGATGTTTTAAGGGTGGGGTGGTTATAGGATACGGAATTTTGAGGGTGGGGGGCTTTAAGCCGGACAATGTCTGTCTGTCATCATGCTTTGAAATCAGCATGCTTTTGAAACTGTAACCTGTCTGTAACCCTTGTGGCTGTGAATATCTGTAAATGAGACCCTGTCTGTCCACCAGGTGTACAGTGAAAGTGTCATTCCTCGTATCGCCAAAGCGGCCAGCGGAGTGACAGGGACTCCTTACAATGAGCTGATGAACTCCTGGGGTGTCTATTTCCTGGGCTTTGTAGGAAAGTACGGCTACGACCGGATACTGAAGGTGGGGGTGGAGTTTAAAGCAGCTAAGCTCCAGTACATAGCTCTGTGCGTCTGATGCCAAAGTAGTGATCTTTGGACTCCGTGGTATATGTAGTTCTCACTTTAGTCTAGTTAGTTAAAATTTCAACATCATGACTGTTGGTGCAAGGTCAAGTTTGGGAAAGTACAAGTTGTCAGTATTAGAATAACTAAAACTAAAGAGTATTGGGATGGTCAACCCTCAGCGTGTGGCCATGAATGTCAGCATGATCAGCCGTCTGTGTCAGGCCTTGCGTTCTGGGATGGTCACCTATCACAGTGTGCCCGTGCATGTCAGGTCCTGGGTCGACACGTCCGCGACTTCGTAAATGGACTGGACAACCTGCATGAGTACCTGCGCTTCAGCTACCCCAAAGTGCAGCCCCCTACCTTCTTCTGCCAAGAGGAGTCAGCCACGGGGGTCACCCTACATTACAGGTCTGTCACAGTATAGAGAGAGAGCCAGACAGAGGGGTGTGATGTGGAAAGTGGAACAAGGTAAAGAGGGATGTGAGGAATGGGAGGGGAGGAGCTAAAATATGGAGAGTAAAGACACTGCATATCTCTCGGTGGGGCTGGCTCCTAGCACGTCTATCTGTTGGACCTTTGAACCCATGCAGGAGCAAGAGGAAGGGCTACCTACACTATGCCATGGGCCAGCTGCGGCAGATGGGCAATCAGTTCTACGACACTGACATCCACGTGGAGGTCCTGTCCGAGCAGCTGGTGGGGGACTATTCTCACGTTACCATGCGGTCAGTCTCCAATTCAGCGTGTGGCCAAGCAGCCTCTCTGCTTGCTTCCCGGGCTTCTGGCTCCTGGCTTATGCTGAGGTCTCCGCTCTTCCACACGGCCGGCCCTCTTTGCGGCCCCACAGGCTGAACTTCGACAACTCGGCCTACCGCTACATCCAGAAGGAGGATGAGGAGGAGCAGGAAATCCTCCCCATTACCAGCGACTTCTTCTTCGAGGTCTTCCCTTTCAATATTGTCTTCCGACAGGTATGTCCTTGTGTATGTCTGTGTGAGTCTCTGTGCCTGAAAATCCTCCATTAAAATGTTTTTTTTTTGAGGTATTTCATTGAAGTCTAAACTAATATGAAGTAATAACCATTTTGGGAACACCTCACCTAAAGCACTCATGTATAATGTATTATAATGCATTCATAATGCATTATAATGCATTCATAAAGTATTATAAACATGGCTATAACATTTTCTACAAAGGCATAACAAATTATAGCCATGTTCATTATGCATTATGAATACTCTATGAAGCTCTCATCTACAATGCATTATAAATACTTTTAGTGTTACCACTATTTCTTAAACTCCCCCAGGACATGGTGGTGCACAACGTTGGCTCTGGCCTTGCCACTGTCTTTCCTGACCTGGATGGGAAAAAAATAAATGACGCCTTTTTGCTTGCTCGGCCCCTGGTGGAGTTTACCTGGAACATGGTGAGCCACTGCCTTTGGTGTAGCATAGGATCGGAGAACCGATAAGATCCCTCCTGAAGGAGATCAGCGAAATTCACACAAAAGTGCAGACAGTGCAACTTTATGTGTCTAACAAGAAACTGTGTGTATGATGCTGTTATCAGTATCTATATTTAACTACAGAAATTGATCATTTTTCCACTTTGCCCACCCAGATCATTTCCCACCCCAACAACCTGTTTGAGATCATGTCCAAAGAGCCGGTCAAGAGAGAGCGGAACCTCCACAACCGAGCGCAGAGTAATGCCCGCCTTGAAAGCTCCCTCGCCGATGGTCACATGACATCCTTCCCTGTAATCAAAGGGCCTCAATCCAGCTAATTTAGTTCCCTCCCCCCCAGACTCCGACTACGAGAACGCCAATCGTTCGGCAGATGTGGACGTGGAACTCATGGCCTTTCAGTCTATAATCGGAGATGATTACAAAGGTCGTTAATTTCTCAATCCTTACATGCTTCACCCACTTTGCAACTACATGGAGAACATTAAAACTGCAAAATAAGATGCATCATACTGTTCAGGCATACTTAATAAATACAAAAATCATTTTATTTGGATCTGAAACATCTTGACTGTAGGAGGATCCTTAATTAGACATAGACAAATGTGCAATGTATGAAGTATTTCATCATCCCGAAGCAGTAGTGCTGACAACAGACATCAAATCAGAGTCATGCAGTCATAGAGCTTTGGAGAATCTTTGGTTTGTGAGTTCGAGTCCCACAATAACAGTTGACACTTCACAGCCCTCAGGCGTAGGGATAGAGGATTGGCGGGTACTCCACTCAGGTCCCAGGGCTCAGATGATGCTCTTTCCCCAGACGGCAACAGCGCCAACGCCATGGAAAGCTGGGGGGACGGGAGCCGGTGCCTGAAGCTGAAGGGGCAGATGAGATACATGCCAGAGTGGGAGTCCATCATCTTCCTGGGAACACCAGTGTAAGGATCGCCGGCACAGCTACAGCTGCCCGCCATTTCCACACCGCTTACACTGTGCCCCGCTAGCTGCACCTGTACACACGGCTGCCCTTAGTCTCCTGAGCTGGCTTTATCTTACTCTCCAGATGCAGGATGAGGCAAATTCCAACCAAATTCCACTGATTTTGTTCTATGCATCCTCATTGCAAATGACATTGCGGAACTTTATTCAGCTGTTGCACCAGGTACTTATGTATGATGTTTGTAACATTATTTGATTGTTATAAACATTACCGTCAATATTTGTGTAGTAATTTTTAAAGCACGATATCAAAAATGTTAGGTTTTTCCACAATTTTGGGCACTAGTGTATATTAGGACTCTGGTTTGCATGAATATACCAGTGACTCTGGCACACACACAGTTTGTTATGGTTGCTTGGTGTCTTACATTCTTATCTCCTCTGGTGAGTAAGCACCTTGGTACCTCATGTGTGCTTACAGGATGGAGAGTCTGAGTGCCATGTTCAAGACAGGCTTGTACATCAACGACCTGAGCATGCACGACTCCAGCAGGGACTTGGTTCTCGCTGGGACTCAGCAGTCTGAGGAGCTGAAGAGAGCCCTGATCCAGGTACTGATCTCATCCACTCGAACAGAGCTCCATTTTTTTAATCACAAAAAGGCCACCCATCTTTTGTGCAACTGGCATGTCCCATATGCCACGTAACTGACAGATACAGAGTACAGACAGTCCCCGGGTTAAGAATGTCTGACTTACAGACAACCCGTCCTTATGAATGGACTGTCATAAAGCCTATTGTAATGAAACTCCAGTCAAACAATGGTCTGTATTAATGAACACACGCATTACTTTGTGATGCTCATAAAAACATTGTGTGGCTTCAGCGGTTCCTAAACTTGAGGTACATAGTTACATTTAATATTACTGTATTATTATTATTATTATTATTATTATTATTATTATTATTATTATTATTATTGTTGTTGTTGTTGTTATTATTATGACTTACCTACAAATTTGCCTTCAAGACAGACTGGGGACCTATGTTATACACATGTTAAATACTCATTTGTTCAGGACGGTTGAGTTTTACTACAGTACATTGAGGTTGTCACAAATACCTGGTATAGTTGATTCACATTGAGAGCCAGGTGTTTCACCTTCAAGTCCCCCATCTGTATTATTCAGGAGCAGAAGAAATCCAGCAAGCTGGAGGAGAGCATGAAGATGCTGGACTATGAGATGAAAAAGACAGATGACCTTCTCTACAGGATGATCCCCAAGCCAGTGGCAAAGAGGTTGCGCAAGGGGGAGCCGGCTGTGAACACCTGTGAGGTTAGAGCACCACACCTAACCAGCCCCTGAAGGACCATTGTGGGGAGATCATCGTATCCATGCAGATTCAATAAATAAGAGAAAATACAATTCCATAGCTGGTCTGACATTTCCATGTTATGTTGAAATTATAGGTTTAATTAAAAATAAAATAATAATAAAGAAAAGTATATTTATTAGTGAATGGTATGAAGGAATACTTGGATATGAGTTTCCATGATCTTTAAACTTTAAAAAAAAAAAACAGATTGATGACATGTAGACAAAGCAGTATTGTAATATTAGATGCTGTTTTTGGGTCTGGTGTCTCTGAACACAATATCTCAGCCTGATAATTGTTGTCTTCCATCCATCCATCCATCCATCCATCATCTCCTGCTTAATCCGAGGTCGGGTCGCGGGGGCAGCTGTCTCAGCAGGGAAACCCAGACTTCCCTCTCTCGGCCACTTCATCCAGCTCCTCTGGGGGAATCCCGAGGCGTTCCCAGGCCAGCCGAGAGACATAGTGCCTCCAGCGTGTCCTGGGTCTTCCCCGGGGCCTCCTCCCAGTGGGACATGCCCAGAACACCTCACCAGGGAGGCGTCCAGGAGGCATCCTAATCAGATGCCCAAGCCACCTCATCTGGCTCCTTTCAATGCGGAGGAGCAGCGGCTCTACTCTGAGTCCCTCCCGAATGACCGAGCTCCTCACCCAATCTCTAAGGGAGAGCCCAGCCACCCTGTGGAGGAAACTCATTTTGGCCGCTTGCACTCGCGATCTCGTTCTTTCAGTCACTACCCACAGCTTGTGACCATAAGTGAGGGTAGGAACGTAGATCGACTGGTAAATCGAGAGCTTTGCCTTTTGGCTCAGCTCCTTCTTTAGCATGACAGAACGATGCAGCGCCCGCATCACTGCGGACGCCGCACCGATCCACCTGTCGATCTCCCACTCCATCGTCCCCTCACTCATGAACAAGACCCCGAGATAAACTCCTCCACTTGGGGAAGGACCCCATCCCCGACCCGGAGAGAGTATTCTACCCTTTTCCGGCTGAGGACCATGGTCTCAGATTTGGAGGTGCTGATTCTCATTCCAGCAGCTTCACACTCGGCTGCAAACTGTCCAAGTGAGAGCTGAAGGTCACGGTCTGATGAGGTCAACAGAACCACATCATTTGCAAAAAGCAGAGACCTAATCCTGAGGTCACCAAACCGGACACCGTCAATGCCCTGGCTGCGCCTAGAAATTCTGTCCATAAAAGTTATGAACAGAATCGGTGACAAAGGGCATCCCTGACGGAGTTCAACCCTCACTGGAAACGAGTCCGACTTATTTCCGCCCAAGCGGACCAGGCACTGGCACCGGTCATACAGGGACCGAACAGCCCTTAAAAGGAAGCCCGGTACCCCATACTCCTGGAGCACCCCCCACAGGACTCCCCGAGGGACACGGTCGATTGCCTTCTCCAAGTCCACAAAACACATGTAGACTGGTTGGGCAAACTCCCATGAACCCTCCAGAACCCTGCGGAGAGTATAGAGCTGGTCCACTGTTCCACGGCCAGGGCGAAAACCGCACTGCTCCTCCTGAATCCAAGGTTCGACAATCTGGCGGACCCTCCTCTCCAGAACCCCCGAACAGACCTTACCAGGGAGGCTGAGGAGTGTGATCCTCCTATAGTTGGAGCACACCCTCTGGTCCCCCTTCTTAAACAGGGGGACCACCACTGCGGTCTGCCAGTCCAGAGGCACTGCCCCTGATGTCCACGCGATGCTGCAGATGCGTGTCAACCAGGACAGCCCCACAGCATCCAGAGCTTTAAGGAATTCTGGGCGGATCTCATCCACCCCCGGGGCCCAGCCACTGAGGAGCTTTTTAACCACCTCAGCAACCTCCGCCCCAGAGATAGGGGAGTCCACACCCAAGTCCCCATACTCTGCTTCCACATTGGAAGGCGTGTTGGTGGGATTGAGGAGGTCGTCAAAGTACTCCCTTCACCGACCCAAAACGTTCCGAGTTGAGGTCAGCAGCACCCCATCCCCACCATAAACAGTGTTGATGTTGCACCGTTTTCCCACCTGGAGCTGCCAGATGGTGGACCAGCATCGCCTCGAAGCCGTCCGGAAGTCGTTTTCCATAGCCTCACCAAACTCCTCTCACACCCGAGTTTTTGCCTCAGCGACCGCTGAAGCTGCATCCCGTTTGGCCTGCCGGTAGCTGTTAGCTACATCTGGAGTCCCACAGGCTAAAAAGGCCCGATAGGACTCCTTCTTCAGCTTGACGGCATCCCTCACCACCGGTGTCCACCAGCGGGTTCGGGGATTGCTGCTGCGACAAGCACCGACCACCTTACGGCCAAAGCTCCGGTCGGCCGCCTCCACAATGGAGGCACGGAACATGGCCCATTCAGACTCAATGTCCTCCACCTCCCCCGGGACATGGGAGAAATTCTGCCGGAGGTAGGAGTTGAAACTCCTCCTAACAGGGGATTCCGCCAGACATTCCCAGCATTCCCGCACTATACGCTTGGGCCTGCCAGGCCTGGCCGGCTTCCTCCCCCACCAGCGGAGCCAACCCACCACCAGATAGTGATCAGTTGACAGCTCCGCCTCTCTCTTCACCCGAATGTCCAAGACATGCGGCCGCAAGTCCGATGCCACGACTACAAAGTCGATCATCGAACTGCGGCCTAGGGTGTCCTGGTGCTAAGTGCACATATGGACACCCTTATGTCTGAACATGGTGTTCATTATGGACAATCCGTCATGAGCACAGAAGTCCAACAACAAAGCACTGCTCGGGTTCAGATTGGGGGGGCCGTTCCTCCCAATCACGCCACTCCAGGTCTCACTGTCATTGCCCACGTGAGCATTGAAGTCCCCCAGCAGAACAAGAGAGTCCCCAAGGGAAACCGTGGTTCCATTATCTTCTTCTTCATTGGGGTCTTGTGAGCCGCACTTCGTCTGGTTCCTCACCCAGGACCTGTTTGCCTTGGGTGACCCTACCAGGGGCATAAAGCCCCCGGCAACTTAGCTCCTGGGATCATTGGAACACGCAAACCCCTCCACCATGATAAGGTGTCGGCTCCAGCAGGGGTGTTGTCTTCCATATAACTAATAAATCATCTGTATCAACAAGAGATACACAATGGGGTTCCGCTGTGATTGTTTCGGGTCTGAGAAGTCTTCTTTCTCTGTGTCCCCTGGGCAGGTGTTTCCAGATGTGACAATCCTCTTCAGTGACGTGGTGGGCTTCACCCGTATCTGCAGCCACATAACACCGATGCAAGTGGTCTCAATGCTGAACACCATGTACACGCTCTTTGATACGCTCAGCGAGAAGCATCGTGTTTTCAAGGTCTGACAGTGGGTGTGGGCTGGGCAGGTGCCCTATGCCAGTATGTGTTGATGTATCAGCACTTTCTATTGTAAATGCCTGTGGTCATACCACCTGATAACTTTGGTCAGGGGCAGCTGTAGACTGTAGGCTGAGCATCTGGAGTGGGCTGAATAGCCGCACACACAGAAATTTCTCTTTTCAGGTAGAGACCATTGGTGATGCCTACATGGTGGTGGCTGGAGCACCAGAAAAGACCAAGTACCATGCCCACAACATCTGTGACATGGCCCTGGACATGGTGCGGTCCATAGACCACTTGAAAGATCCATCCAATGGAAACAGCATCCAGATTCGAGTGGGTGAGTCTCCACAAGCCCTGGAAGGTGGGAAATGGGAATGTTCTTCATTATCCCTATATTACAAAGATCTCAGGAGATCTACACATTGATTACTTGGAACTGTCTGTATTTCAGGTATCCACTCTGGGATGGTGGTAGCTGGGGTGGTGGGACATAAGATGCCACGGTACGGTCTCCATGGAGACACGGTTCACACTGCATCTGCAATGGAGAGCAACGGGAAGGTGAGATGTTTGTGCTTAAAGGATTGGTATGAGTTTTTTTGAATGATTTTTTGAAGATGTTTTGAGATGGGATAAACGTTAGCTGCTCACTGCAAATCAGCCCTTTAGGGGAACAAATAGACCTGATTTTTGAGTCTCTTTTTGTGGGTCCGCAGGAGATGCATATACAGTTGAGCAGTGCTACCTATGAACACCTCAAGGGAAGTCATTTCATCTTTGAAAGGAGGGGCACTATCACAATCAAGGTGAACGTTGCCACTACTGTCCCTGTTAATGGTCTCCACTCCTTCAGCTGTATACGAGTACATTACTGCCATAGAAGAACTTCACACAAGCACATTTAGAGTATACTGAATAAAATATAGCATTTGCTATCTGGTCCCTCTGTTGAGAGAATGTTGGTTATTCTTTGACAAATCATGTTAGTCAATATCAATAATATTACAGACACTTGGTTATAGGTGGCTGGCACTCACAGACTAAAGATTCCTTCCTCAAAAGATTCCTTTTTCAAGTTTTGATCCATGCTGCTGCTGTTTTTTGTTGATAAGTGACATGCACTAAGTATGAAGCAACCATTGACAGATACAGTCATGGCCAAAAATATTGGCACCCCTGCATTGATGTCAGAAAACGCACCACTTCTCCCAGAAAATTGTTGCAGTTACAAATCCATATTGCCAGTTGCTGTTAATTGAGTGAGTTGAAAGGAGCATCACAATTATTTGTTACAATTCTGTTACAAAAGGTGCCAATAATTTTGTCCAGGCCATTTTTGGCATTTTGTGTGGAATGTCTCAGATTTGGTTTTTTTCCTCTGCTTTTTTGTGTTCTTCCAGTGCCAACAAGAGAAATAACTATGACATTACCAAGGCATTTGTTATTGCCACAATTTTCTGGGAGAAGTGGTGCGTTTTCTGACATAAATGCAGGGGTGCCAATATTTTTGGCCATGACTGTATCAGTGGAAGCTTTCAAAGGAATGCTTGACTGACAGTCTGACCGGCTATAGGATCTAGGCCAGGAAGGGCAACATCCTACGCAGAAGCCACGGGGATGACATTTATCCACATGGCTAATGAGGTGACTCTCTTAGACAGATTGACAAGCTCTGTTGGGTATGATTACTTGGGAGCAGAGTTACTGATCCTCTGGATCAGCTGATAAGAGACAGCTGTAGTGCTTTGGGTATATGCCAAAAATACACAGACAAGAAAGCTAATGGGTTCCTTGTTGATATGTCGAAATTAGCTTTCAGCTATCAACAGGGGTACAGATGTCTTTTATATCAAAAGACTTTCAAAGCGTGGATAATTCCTGCTCTCAATAATTAGCTGCTGGTCTCTGCAAGTGGTAACCTATTTTAAGGGTTTGCTGAATTTGAATGCATGACATTTATAGTTGAATTTATGGGTAGAGAAAATGTATTTAAAAGCATTTGATATTCTTTTTGTGTGTCACTCAGGGGAATGTAGAGATTGAGACATACTGGTTGAAGGGAAAGAGAGACAAAGATGGTAATGCCCAGGCTGCCTGCCCTCAGTTTGAAGCACAGACCATCAGCAAAGCTACCATCTCTGCTTCAGAACCCCCTATTGATGAGGATGTCTTGGTATGAACCAACTTGTCTACAACTTGTCTACCATCATGGAGTCTCCCGGTGGTTCCTGCTATTCCCGCAACTCGGATAAGAGCGCAATGTGTTCTGTGTCCTAAGACAGTGTTTTGTTTTTTTCTTTCAAGGTTTCCCCCAGTTCCCTCCTATGAAGATTAATCCAGTGTTCTATCTTTAAACGTTTAATCAAAGGGCATTACAGTGGCTCTGAGTGTAGCTCTGTTGGTCCACATCTCCCAGCTTGTGAATTCCAGTCCCACCTGCACTTTGTGTGTGGAGGTTGCATGTCCTTCCTGTGTTTTACAGGCTTCATCCTGTAGATTTTTGGCAGTCTGTAGAGTCTGATCTTTCATGCCCTTTGGTGGACTGGTGTCCTGCCGTAGTTTTCCCCAGCCTTGTACCCTGTGCTGCTTGGGAGAGGCTTGAGGCCCCCAATAATCCTGTGTTTGATAAGGGGGGTGAAAGACATTTTTGCACAAGAACTAATCAATGTCATTTCATTCCACATCTCATACCAAACCTGAATGCTGATCTTTCCAATGTGTTCAAGGACACATACATATTGATTTCATCAAATGTTTGTTTTATCCTCCAGTGGTTTGATGAAGCGTCAGCGTCACGTTTATACAGCATATCAATTTCCATGCCTAGAGATCAGGAAGAGAGATGTTCTCCTGACCTAAAAATGTGCTCTGTTATAATACGGCTGCATCATATGGATTTAGTAATATAAAGATATGAAAGATTAATGACATGGAGGCCCTGATAGGTTTTTCTGTATGATACCTGCCTAGCATTCCTTCAACATGACGGGGTCGTCTGTGTAAAGGACTGTGCACCTAGTGAGGAGTTAGCATTAGCATCATGATAGAGCTCTTAGAAAACTCCACATCAGTAATGGGCAAACTTGATGTTTTTGATGTCAAGGGTCTGTAGAGTATGTTTGTTTTTATTTTTAAAGACTTTAGTACAGTATTTTCCACTTCTCTTGTCACAGGAGAAACAGCACATGGGCTTGTAAACAGCTGAGAGAAATTAAACTGTGTGACAGCTGTACAGATGTGGAAAGTCTCAGGTTATTTCCTCTTTTAAGCTAATGGAATCACTTGAATTTGGTTTGTATATTTACTTACCTTCAACACAAACACATTTAATAAACCACAGGCAATGTCAGCATAAAAAGCAGCAAAATAAAATTCTGTCATTTAGTGATCATAAACATCTCAGCTAGAACAGACTGAAAACTGCTGTTTAATGGTAACCAGCCCTTGGTCAGGCTTGTAAGTAACTCCAAAGGACCTCACACATTGCATCAAGAGATGTTTTTTTTGTTTGTAAACATTTATCTCACTGAAATACAGTATATGGATCCATACAGGCAATGTTACTCACATCTCAGGGTTTGACAATCATCACAAATAATCATGTCATGGGGGAAAATAAAATGTGAAAATCAGAGAGGAAACTTATAAAAACACGACTCAGCTTTACATGCAGCATGTGTGACACTGATGGCTGAGAGAACCCAAGTGGAGCCATCACCCAGTCAGAACACACGGTACTCCAAGTCAACAGCTTCAACGGTTTCTCCTCCACATCCCGTCCAGATTGTCTCTGCCTCATGCCTCATAATCTGGGGTAAACTCCCTGCTAACCGTTACTGGGTAGGCAGCTATGTGGTTTCATTAAAATTGCCAGATATGTAAGATTTACATGGAAATAAAACAAAAATTGTACGCCAACGCAACCAGGACAGGAAGATCAGGCCTTTGGATGAAAATGGACATTTTTATATCCCTATAAAACAATTCCTGTGTTCATTTCATAGTAGGGTGGCATGGTGGCACAGTGGGTAGCAGGGTTCGAGTCTCTGCCATGGTCTCCTCGTGCTGTAGTGGGGTTACCTTCAGGTACTCCAGTTTCCCCCCCCCCCACCCGTAGTCCAAAAACACACTGCGGTGAACTGGAGTTACCAAACTGCCCATACTGTAGGTGTGTATGTATGAGTTAATGGTGTGAGTGTACCTGTGATGGGTTGGCGCCCCATCCTGGTTGTTCCCTGCCTTGTGCCCGACCCCCCATGACCCTGAATTGGACAAGTGGTTACAGATAATGGTAGGATTTCATAGCTTTCTGTTGCCAGTTATGCATGGCTTTTAAAAAGTTAAAAATAATATTTAAATAAATTTATATAAAATAATTAAAATAATGGATTGGGCAAGGAGTAAAGTGACTTTTTCACATCAAATGAAGAAGGGACGGGCATGCTACAGTTGAATAGCTACATAAAATTGTGACTAAGTTATTCTGGTGCAGTTATGGTACTGCCTTTAAATGCTATTAAAGTAGCTTTTCTGGTCATATTGTGAAGCGTTTACTATTTGGCACAAAATATCGTCACTGAAAGCACTGAAGGGTTCACAGACACTCGGCTTCTTTCGACACAGAACTCTTTAGCTTACTGGTAGATATTTTTGTACTGCTGCACTGGTTTCTTCCAAATCCCCCCCCCCATGTTTCAAATGGAGTTACCCACTGAGGGACTGGAGGAGCTGCAGCGGAAGGTGGCATCTTCCCGATCCACGCTGCACCTGGGGGCAGGCCGGTCGCAGCGACCGTCCTTGGGCTGCGGCTCCATGGTACAGCGGAAGCAGAAGGTGTAGAAGAAAGCTGTCAGCAGGAGGAAACACACCACACAGAAGACGATGATGATGAGGATGGTGTGCACTCGCACGTGCGCGTAAAGCTCCGGGGAGTTTGTGGGGCCGGCGCTGGCCGATGATTGGCCCTTGTAACTTAGGAACGCATTTTCCGTCATTCCCTGCTCAGCCCTCAGACCTGAGGAATAAAGGCAAAATAAAAGGTCACAAAATTCCTAATAATTTGTATGTGAGTCTTACATACATCAGGTCCATACATAGTAAATAATATTAAAAATAAACCTCAAGTGGCCTCCTGTTGCTACGGCTACGACTGACTCTGGCTGAAGATCAAAGAGAATGACATTGGTCAGGATCAGAGGTAGAAAGTTCAGCTCCAGAAAGTACAAATCCAGACCAAGGTTTTATTTCAACCAACCAGTCACAGTCACAGAGTACTCAACTGGTTGGTTGAGGGAAAAAAAAACAAAAAAACATGGACTGGATTTGTACTTTTTGGACCTGAACTTTCCACCACTGGTCAGTATTCAGTTTGAAGACTTACTGCTGGAGGCCTGGCTAATATAAGACCCCATTATGGAGGCAAATAAGACCTCAGGGTAATAAGAATGCAAACTGACAATCTGGAACCCTCCTTCTAAAAATGAAAAACAGTAGTTGTGCTGTGTATGTGAACCACGGTCATTCATGAAGAAAGATCTCACTGGACATATTGTTTTCTCCTGTAGTAACTAAAGACCCAAGAATGGGTGAAGGAACCTTAGGATCCTGGTTGGATTACCTGGGAGCTGCAGTACATGGGTATCGGCTGTCGGCTGTGAATTTCCTTGCATCTTGGACTCTCCTCCTCCTCAGTCTCTGTTTTCAGTTGATGTATTTGTCTAGATGAAGGTTAAAGACATAAAACAATGACATAAGTTGCATAAGTTGGGTGAAAGGTGGTTCGGTGGGTGGAACCATGGCCTCACACCTCCGGGGTTGGGGGTTTGTGTGCCTGTGTGGTTTGTACATTCCCCCAGGGTCACGTGGGTTTCCTCCTGCAGTCCAAAGAAGTGCAGTTAGGCTACCTGGCATCTGTACAGGCACCCTGTCTAGGGCAGTGTTTCCCAATCCGGTCCTCGGGGACCCACATGCCAGTCCATGTTTTTGTTCCCTCCCATACAGGTCTAGTGCCCTGGATAGGGTTCCAGCCCCATGAAACCCTGCTCAGAATAAGGGGGCAAAAAATTTTGATGGATGTTGTCACATTCGGAGGCTGTTATTGATGTGTAGCCGACTATTTAGTTAGTAATTTATTTGAAAGTAAAACCATAAACAATCTACTGTCAGAAAATGCACAAACATTCCAATCAAACCTGAAATGTAGCCCAGTGGAATAATGTCGTCTTCACAATAACTGTATGATTAAAAACCTCATAAAAGCAGGAAAATATGTAAGAAAGTGGAGTTCCCAGAGGAAGGCTGCAAAACGTGAGGAGAACGTGCAACCTGCACACACATAGAAGCGGGCGAAGCGTGTAAACCACAGTGCTGGAGGTCTGGTATGGCATTGCTGCTGCAGGTGACATTTAAAGCACAAATAAAGAAAAAAATGTGTATGATATGTCCCTTTCCGAATTTGAATAAAACGACATAAATGACATATTTATATTGAAAGATATTCAATATTCAGAGAGTACAGAAACACCATTAAGCCCCAAAACATAGGAAAATATAATAATAATAATAATAATAATAATAACATGCACACTAATACAGACAAACAGCCACATAAACGACAGTCCTCACCCATATTTCCATCCGTCGCTTGTGTGGTGTGAGAATCTGATCTGATGTGCTCGAGGAGCGGCTGAAATCAGAGGTTGAGAGGAGGAAAAAAAAATAAGGGACCGACCTCAACTGAAGGGTTTGAGAGGCAGTGTTTCCATGACAACACTCGCTCACGTGACACTGGTCGGCAGGTCAATAGAGACCTGGGGAGAATGAATCTGAGGCCACTGGGCAAAACAGGTTATTCTCTCCATCAAAACAAGTCGCATCAAAACAAATGATTTTATTCCCAGAAACGCAGTGGCAGCTTCAGAGGGTTGGGAGATACGAAATGAAAATGGTGGATGGATATTAGTGCATTAATCACTTGGTAGATGTTCTTGGAAGCATATTGTAGTGCCGGCGAGACGGCCCTGCATAGCAAAGCCCACTAACAGTGCGGCACATGCTGGCAGATGTGTAAATATCCTCTCGTCTTTGTCATGTAATTAGCTGTGCTGGGGACCTGATCATCATGTGACCCCTTCCCTGTCTTTGTACTCGGTCCTTAATTGT